CCCTCTTTCCCTCAATATAGGTTTAGGGCAAAGCAGCCCAGGGAGCCTGAGGAAGCCATGTCTAAGATGGAAAAATAGGCCTGTAAACCAGAACTCTGGCTCTCAAACTGGAGGTCACCACAACATCATCAACTGGAGGGGTTGAAATGGATTGCTGGGTCCCTCGCCCACAGAGTTCATTTTCAGAAGGTCTAGGCTGGGGCACCCATGCTCTGGGTATGGGGAAACACACTTTGAGAACCACTGAGTTTGAATCCTTGGCAGGTAGCATTACATCCTCAGTATGTTACCTATTGTTTGTGTTTTTGCCGGGTCCGCTATCATCTTTGCCATCATCCCAGAGCCAGCGAGGGGCCTGGTGCAGAAGCCAGGCTGTGGGGACCATCGAATTCTTCACTCAGCCAGGTACATGGGACTGGGGTGGCCCAAAGAATTTTCAGCTTTTAGAGACCATCTCCTGACTGAATGTTGGCTGCATTTTTCTGTCTGTTCATTAAATGTCTTGGAACAAGAATGCTAGCAAGAAGGCTGGACGGGCCATGCTTGCTTGGTTTTTCATTTACTCCCCTCGAGTGCTGGGTGGGTGGGCAGGGGATGAGGGACACACCAAGGAAGGCAATGGACTGGGCAATGGACCCACAGAATAATACCCCTCTAGGGTTGGCCTGGGATGGCAGGAATCTCAAGAATCTCTGTAAGTTCAGGGAGAACATTCTGGGCGCTGAGTGCCAGGTGCCAGGCGCTGAGTGCCAGTGCCAGGCATGGTTGACCTCCAGCTGCCAGGCGACCTGGGACCCTGAGGTGCTCTGCCCTATAACTGGATGTCAGCTCCCAGCCATGCCGGTCACCATGTCTAAGTATCAAGTGCTCTCCACATTTGTTCAGCGGTTGTGACTGAGCCTTCAGAGGAGAGAGATAAACAGGCATTTACAAGTTTGGCAAAAAAGAGTGAGGTTTGCTACCACTGTCCTTCAACATCTCCAGGCTAGTGGGATATGAACATTAAAGTGCTTTGAAAAGTTTAAAGGGATAAAAGGATAATGCCTCATCATTTGGTACTAGCCTATGGTTGCTAAGAATAAATAAGATTTACATCTAAAGCCCTTGACATGCATTCAAAATCTTATTTCTAATACTGATTGGTCTATTAATATTATTCATATGGATCCATTTTATAATACCCCATGAACAACAGCACATCCTTCTAGCTAGTCAATATCATTTTAAACTCCAGGCACTATCATTTTATAGCAGTAGTCACCAGCCTCGATCTTTCAAGCTTCAGCGACACATTGTTCCAGACACAATTGAAGTGACGCCCTGGGGTCTTTCATGGGAACATGAAGGGAGATGCCAGCATACAACTAGCAGGGCTCAAGAACAAGAGACACTGAGAAGGCTTCATTTTCCAATCCCTGTATGCGATTCTGGACCCAATGAGGTACTGAGTTGTGCCCCGGCTTGGATTTAAAATCAATTCGGACACAAGCACTCCCTTGAGATGCTTACAATCTGGGCAAGGAGACGAGACATGTTCAAAAAATTCCAATATTGAGGAGCTAAGGGCCAAAGAAAAATGGTCGTAGAGGGAAAGTGTGATGGAGGGTCGGGGGGAGGGTCACAAAGGGATAAATGATTTTGGCTGGGGGTGTCCAAGGAGGAGGCCGTATCTGAGTTAATCAGCAGGTTTGGACGTGTGCTCTCACTATTCCA